AAGATAAAAGAAAAAGATAAAGGTGAACGATAATAAAAGGGAATAGTCTAAGCCCGGGTCTCCCCGCGGTGCCTTTCTCACGTGAGCTGTTTGTCTTATCCACCGCTCCAGACTGGGCCGGATCCAGAGGTGATCTAGTAGCATATTGCTGCCGTTTCCATTCCTTCAGCTCAGTGTCAGCGCAGGGCCTCCCGCGTGTACCTGCGGTGCTGTTTGTCCAGCCTGCGCAAGGCCGACGGCCACCGCGTGTACCAAGACAGAGAAAAGCATACAAAAAATCGGCCACAGCCGTTTGTCTTATCCACCGCTCCTGACTGGTCTTCAGATTTCCAGCCTGCGCTGGTGCATCACCAGGCCGACGGCCGCTGCGTGTCTCAAGGCAGAACCAACAAAACACACCAAAAACCCTGTTGATCCCGAAGACAGCTGATCCTCCAGGGTATCAAATCATATCCTGGGCCTAACCAGGGGTCGACCCTGCAAACTCCAGGCAGTCGTCCGGCCGTCATCCCTCATCCCTCATACAGCCAGGTTTTTACCAGTACCTTCATCTTTTCCCAGAAAGCGGACCCCGTTCGACGGTACATCCATCGGAGCCCTGCGAGAACTACCTTCCCAGGGTACCCCAACTTGTCCAGCTCCTGAGCAAGAGTCAGGACATTCAGACAGGTTATCCCTGGGTCATTGGAGTTACCTGCGATTCTCAGTAGTGTGTTAGCTACTATAGCAAACTTGGTGGTGTGAGGGCCAAATGAAGAAAAGTCCTTATAGGTTCGGAATCTTAACGTTGCGTCATCCCAAATAGTATCCGCATTCTTAAACTTATGTAGCATCAGGATAGTCTTAGGTGCTCCGACCACAAGCATCCTGGTTTCCAAGAAATCAATCCACCTGTTCCCTGGATCGGTGCGTTCCAGTTGCAGTCCAACCGGATAGGAGCTGGTGACTAAGTCCATCCGTTCCTCTGCTTTCTGCCGTCCAGACGGGTCGTTGGTACAGAAAAATGAGACAACCAGTAGGTCATCAATATACCCCTTTCCGGTTATCCACTTCGTGTCTGTGCCGAGTGAGCTTAGAAACTTGTATTCCGACATCATACACATAGCGCACGCCAGCGGGGGGCTTGCCCTTCCGCCCATTGGTATGCCTTTCGATTGTCGCAGAACAGTCCCAGACACCAAAAAGAACGTATTTTCCAGCTGATATTCAGTGAGTGAAATCAACCTGCTCAATCGTATGGACTTCCAGCCATCTTCCCCTATATCCACAATGAACTCGGCAGCAGCAGATGCTGTCTACAAACGACACAACTTACATGCATGTTTACAGGAATGCTGGACCCTGTTTCCAGCAGGTGTTGCTCCCCACCAATAGGGCTGCTCTTATCACACCCCCTTAAGTGGGCTTCTGCACAGAAGTTCAACCAAAAAAACGAAAACAAAAAAGAGAAAGAAAAAAAAAAATCCATATCCATACCAACAAAAAAAAGAATTTGAGGATTTTCCTTGCAGGAAGATTTTCGACGTTGTAGACATGGGGTGTGTGTGAAGGTGGAGGAATTCTGGAAAAGATGGGATCAGTACCCTTACCTGTCGACTCATGATCCTGACATGGGCCGGTTACAGTTTGGCCCTGTCTGCAATGAACCTCACAGTTCAACACCAATGAGCGCACATATTCACACCACAAGCATGTATGAGATCACACGAAGTTCACACTGGAGTTCAGAGAGATTCAGACCAGATAGCGCAGCTTATGAAATCCAACGAGTTATACAAGAGCAATAAGAGTTCCAGATCACCAGCACTCATCAGCGCATGTCAAAGGAAACCAATATCCAGCACAAACTCTCAAGTAAGATTCTTTTCTCCCACTGATCTTCTCCCTCTTGTATCTCCCCTCCTTACTGATCTTCTCCCTAGCTATGTCCTCGCTGTATCTTCTCTCACTTCATGCATGCACACTCACTAACTTCTGCCCAAGAATCTACTCTGGATACATCCACTGTCAACTCTACTAACCCCTCTGGAGTCTACTACTAACAACCAGTACTAACATTTCTGCACTGGCGCAGCTATGGCTGCATTCTCCCTGCCAGCGCTATCTTCCTCTCTCTCCCTCACTTAGCGCAGCACTCTGGCCTCAGCGCTCTGCTCCTCACTTCAGCGCACAAGTGCACCAGCACTTCCACACTTCTTGCGAATGAGCAATCTGCCTGAATGTGAGGCTGGCCAGTCCTTTTGTAGGCTTGGTTTGCACTTCAACTCGTGCCAGCCTCTATTTCTTGGGTCCTGTCTGGTTCCGGTACCACATCCCCACGGCCTGTCTGCTACTGAATGTCAAGGCCTGGCCTTTCCGAATTTCCATTGGACTGCTGCTGCTTGGGCCCTTGGGTCATGACTTTTCACTTGTGAACATGACTTTTGACTGTGGACAGTGTCTTTTGCCTGTGGGTCACGACTTTTGCCTGTGATACTACCTTTTACTCGTGGGATGTGTCTCTTCAATACGACTTCATTAAGAAACGTGACCCCTGTCTTGAGACATGACTCTTGCTTGGTGAATCTGCCTCTTCACTCGTGGAATGTGACTCTTCTGAATGGCTTCTATTATGAGACGTGACTCCTGTCCCTGAGACGTGACTGTCTGCTGGGTGCCTGTTGGACCAAACTGCTGAGGTACCCGATTGTGACTTTTCTGAGTTTGACGAACTCGGCCTTTTCTTGGCCTGGGCATCTGACCCTGCGATCTGAATTTGGGGTCTGAATCGTGAAAGGCCTTTCATGTTCTGCTGCGTCAGGTGCCTCGGCCGGAAAAGGACCCAGAATAGGAACGATGTGGTTACTTCATGTTCCAGGGGGGGGAAGTGATAGAAGTAGCGAATAGAAGTAGCGAATAGTTGTAAAATAGTTAGGATCATACTTGCAAGCGGACGCCGTCCGGGTGGTTCCGCACGTGCGGCAGACCGCCGGACCGGACCCACGCGGCGCACGAATGTACGCCCGACAACCAGTTACGCTCCCTTCCCCCCCCCAAAAAAAAAAAAAAAGGGCCCCGTCCGGTTCGGTCCGGGTCCGTCTGGTCGGGGGGGAGGGTGCCGCACGCGGCAAAGCGGACCAGACCGGACCCTCGTCCGGTCCGTCTGCTTGCAAGTATGGTTAGGATGGCTCCGTAGGAGGTTGGCCAGCAATAGGGAGAATAGTTGTAAAATATTTAGGGTGCACCGGTGCAAAAAGGCACAGTTCATGAGTGAGCATGATCATGGGATGGAGAGGGTAGGAGGGGTATAGCATAGGATGGGTAAAGGGTCAAGGAAGCGAATTCTAGAAAAAAAACAGCTTAAAAAGTGACGAACAAGGACAGAAATGTGGGGAACATGCTGGGGATAGTCTTTTCCGGAGCAGGATATCATGACAGTGAGGAGGGGATGTGATGAGGGGATTTTATAGTCTGACAGGGGGTCGAAATTACAAAGAGTAGTAGATTCATTGAAGGGCGAAACTAAGTAGGCGAGAAACAGAAGGATTAGCAGGAGTTGGCGGTGTCGGATTTTTGGACTGGTCATGGGAATGCCGTAAGGGCGATACGGCCTGTGAGGCTGCTAGAACGACCCTCCCCGCATCATGCCTCTCCTATAGTCCTTCTGCTGCGTGACTGGGTGCGGCCAGTAGGCTTCCCGGCCAGCAGAAGCCCACTAAGAAAGCAACGGTTTTGGGGGGGAGTCGGATCGTAGCAGCCCCCTCCTTGAGTAAGTGACTTGTACCGCAAAGGTTGGGCTGACTCTTCTTCAACACTGTTCTTCTGCCTTCTTTTTCTTTGTGCTCATGCTTGCCGGTGATAAGCAACCAGACTGATGCCCCCCAGAATAGAAGGGGCCGCGGTTTAAAAAAAAAATAAAAAAATCCCCCAACACCTCCCTCTTCGCCAATGACATTACCATGCTCATAGGGGTAAATGAACATAGTTTGAGAGCTCTCGCACACACCGTCTACTTGCTGTCTATAGTCAAAGCTCGCATGAAACATTGTTTTAAGTATCCTTTTCCCTTCATCACCCACAAGAAAGATTGCAATCATATCTACAGTCTTCCCCCAAATACAACATACCGTCATTATAGCTGAATTTAGACTGAAAGATGCCCCAAATTCAGCTATAATGACCGTACGTTGTATTCGGCAGAAGACTGTAAGGTGGCTGGAAAAGAGTCCCAGTTGGGTTAGGACTAAGGGTCTCGTTAGACACTCCTAAAAGTTCCTGTTCTTAGGATTGCGTGTTGGTTGCACGCAATCCTAAATCGGCCGCGGGAATCGAAAATGTGAAAACGGCGTTAGGACTCGTCTTAAAAGTTTTAGGAATCCCCAGGCAAATCGTCCTAAATTTTCCAGTAGCCCCGGAGCTACTGAAAAATTTAGGATTCCCGATTATCACGGAGTCGGTGCGTCGCGCGCATGGCACCGTCGCCACAGGGTTGCTGGTCCAGTAGCGGTCCGTTGGGTGGGCGGTCGGACATCGGAGTTTTGGAGCGGGCCGAGGCCGGCAGTGGCCAGCGGTGGTAGCCGTTGGCAGCCGGTGACAAGCGGGGCGGTGGGGGTGGGGCTGGGGGGTCTGGCGACCGTCTGCGGGCTGCCGACCGTAGTGGACCGTTGTCTCGACGTTGCTAGCGACGGTGGAGGACGACGTTGGTCCCTCCACGACGCACGGTGGCGCGGGCTCTGAGTGGTGGCGGCAACGGTCGTTTTTTGAATCGCATGCTGCCACCTTCGTTGTCTTCTCTGGCTGTTGTCGGCATATGAAGGTCCACCGGGTGCGACTCCCCCCACATGTTACAGCAGTGTGGTGCAGTAGCAGTTGCGTGCGCAGTTGGGGTTGGTGGTGAATTTGATGGCTGACGTGGGGAGGAGATTGCCTCTGCTGGTGCTCGCCGTCGTCGTCTTCCTACTTGTCGTCTTCCTCCACGTGTGTTTGTCGTGGCGCCCGTGGAAACAACATCGCAAGAGGAGGGCGTCGACGAAACGGTCGGCAGGAGAGCGTACAATGGCGGGCATGCAGGGACGCGCGGGTGTTGGTGTAGGTCAGGGCGGAATACGACCTGCGACGGCGGAGCCTCCACGGCGGTACGACCTATCCATGTACGCCCATTTGCAGTCGTGGGAGACGCCACTGCCCCCGTCGGACGAGGAGCCCGAGACGGAAGAACTGCCGACGTTGCCTCTTGCCAGCGGCTCGACGCAGCTTTGGTCGCAGACGGTGCGAGCAGGCGGTTCGGGTTGCAACGAAGGCGGCGAGTACACGTCTTTGCTGCAGCAAGGCTTGGGAGACGACGACGACGGAGGACTTGATCTCAGGTTCGGCTCGTGTTCTGGCGGGTCCAAGGAGGCGAGCCGTACGTTGATCATCGACACCGATCCTTCGCCACGTGGCGTGGAACAGGGTGGGAGTCAGCGTACGGATCAAACCACCCTTTGTGCCCGTGCGTCCGTCGCTGCCAGTGTCGGGCCATCTGCAGTGCTCCGGCGTCAAGGCTCCACAGCACCGTCCGCCGATCGATCGACAAGTAACTGGCCTGCACGCAACGGAGCCGCAGCCGGGTCACCGCGCGTCGAGTGTGCACGTCCTTCGATGCCCGAACGCACAACACCGACCCAATCCGACGTCAGGGACGCGGGTGCATGCAGACCGCCGGTGCGTCCAGTACCCACTGTGGAGAACATCACACGAGGTGTGTCGAACATGCGGGCACACAGTGATGGCGGCGACGACGACGGTGTTGGCGGCGATGATGCTGACAAGCGATTGATGGAGGACGTGGACGCAGGGGACGACGACGAAGACATTCCTGTTCGTCCGTTGGGGAAGACGGGTGGGAGGGGAGAGCACGCAGCAGGGGTGCTGTTCGTGGTCGATCCGTTGGCCGTGGCGCCAGAGGCTGTGTCAGCGACGATGCCGGGAAGTCTGTGACGTACTGGTCTCCGGAGGAACAACTGCAACTAGTGAGATGCAAGCGGGAGCAAGAGATGCACCTCGCCGGGCTGGGCCACAACTACGGGCAGATGCGGACGAAGGACTGGAAGTGGGACGACATTGCAAAGCGCATGGCGAGCGCGGGGAAACCGAAAGATGCGGACGACTGCATGAAGAAGTGGGACAATCTGTTCCAAAACTACAAGAAGATACAGAGGTTTCAGAACGCAAGCGGCCGTCCTGATTTCTTCGGCCTTACGAATGAAGAAAGGAAGGAGCACAATTTCAAGTTCCGGATGGAGAGAGCGCTGTACAACGAGATCCATGCTGGCATGCTGGGCAACCATACAAATTTTCCTCCGAACATCGCCGACACAGGAAATCCTGACGGGAGGCAGCTTCCCAGGAGAGGAGGTGGCGGTGGGGAGTCAGTTGGTAGTGAGGCTGGTGGTGAAGGCTTCCCCGAGGAACGTTCTTCTGCGCGGGAGTCCGAGAACAACGCAGGCAGCGGGGCTGGAGGCGGCAAGCGGAAGAATGCACGTCAACAGGTGTCGGAGTCGATCGCCGATGTCATGGATCGACATGGCGAGCTGATGTCGTCGACGATCGAATCCTCCAGCAAGCAGCAATGCAGCATTTTCACGAGGCAATGTGACATACTGGAGCAGGAAGTAGCAGTCCAGAAAGAGCACTACGCGGCGTCCAATGAAACGCAGAGGATGATGTGCCACGCGCTTATGGAAATCGCTGTGGCCATCCGTGGTCGGACGACGATGTAGTGGTCCTTGGTGTCCCATCCGAGTGTTCAGTTGTGAATATTTTTAAGCTTTTTTTTTTTTTTTTTTTTTTT